AGATATATAAAATCTTTATCATTTAATATATTAAAACAGAAAATTTTTGCAATCCAAATTATATAAAGAATTTCGGAAAATATGTAACCTTCAATAATAGGAATATTTTCCAAAAAATAAGTTGTCACTGAGAGAACAAAATACTATATCTCACAAAATACTTACAAATAATTTATAATAATCATTTCTCAATTAAAAAAAATATTCTAAAATATTATTTGAAGGTGCTGCACTTACCGATAGGAATTCTCCGTGTAGTCCGTTTTATACTTTTTACTTGGCAGCACCATGACTGAGTTATATACCCAATAAATTATTGCTCTGTTAGGAAACAGTAAATATACAACATTTATGTATTGTGCAAGTAATTCTTAAGTTTCAATTTTTTAATGTAATTACAACCAAAACCAAAAAATATTCTCTACTGAAACATATTGTCCACACAATAATTTTTGTTCATGTAGATCATGTTTTGCGCCCATATATTAACAGAGGGGGTATGGGTGGGAAAGAAGCCGTTGGAGAAGAGGGACAGTGAACTTCTTTGCTTTGGGGGTTGGTTAGTGAAAGTTGCAGCCATTATGGTAGCAGTAGATCTGCTGCTCCGGAGTGCAGCTTCCTTCAGAGAAGTGATTATTCGTTCAGTTAGCTAAGGGACTAGCCTTTAATTCATTTACGGTGTGTTCAGGGTGGGTCAAGTGGTGCCTAACCTCGCTATCTATAGCAGCGAGTGCTTTTGTGATAGTAGTAGTGAAATCCCAAGAAGATGCACATGTCAAGTTAATGATCTAGCAAGGAAAAGCACCATAGAACCCCTATGAGTAAAATGGGAGCGGGTCGATGCTCTCGTATCCTCTTGTGTTCTACTACTAGATAGCTAAGTTAATAACAATTCAGAGAATTTAGATACACCGCACATTTTTTAAAAGTATATCAAAATATTTCACCTTATTGAAAACAGTATGAAAATTCTCTGATAAGCGAAAAATTTTCTCCTCCTTCCCTTTGTAAACGAGTTCGCAATGTTTTATTGAAAGTTATTGAAAATCCAAACCATTAAAATTATTTAAATGTAAGAATAGGGAATAACTGATGTTACACAAATGGTGTAAGAACACCGTTAAAAAATTGTTTTTTTTATTTTTTCACTCTCCATTTTAAAATTTTCAATGACCTTCATGTTACTCACAAACGGTTTGTATTTTCTAACCAATTTTTGTTATTTACACTGATTTTTTTACAATTATTGACAAATAACTTTAGAAGATGTAAACCTCTCTTTTTAAGAATATAAATATATGTATTTAAAAAAAAAAAACAAATTTCCAAACTTGAAAATTTTGTTAATAAATATTAAGCGGGTTATGAAATTACAAAAGTTTTCCTAGATCATCTACAAATATAATGAGAGTATAGCTGTAAGCAATAAACTATTGTCGGCAATAAAAGTAGCCAACACATCCTTACCAGGTTTTATTATTCTTCAGACAATATTAAATTCTTTACTAAATTCTGCTCATTATTTATTTAAATCATAAACTTACTTAGGATGTGCCTCCGTATGACAGTCAATTGTAACATCGGTGCCAGCTGGCGCACCAACCAATTGATTTGGTACCCAAATCATAGGAGAAACTTCAATACGGAAGCGCATGGAAATGAGAAACAAATAAAAATTGATAAAATAGTTATTTTTTTATATAAATTTTTTTTTTTTAATATAATTTAGGTATGTTATTTAATATAAATTATACACCAGATGTCCGCTATTTCCCAAGCTGAGTTTTTTGCAAGCGCCTCCCCAAGTTTTCTGCTCTGCAGAAAAGATAACCATAATGTTTTTCGTAAAACTATTATTCTAGAAGTTATGCGYAGTTAAAGTTATGCATGAAACGTACTGTGTGTATGTGGTACACCACGTCGTATGAGCTACACAGAATGCWTAAATCATWTGGRTGTTTAAATTTACCAGCGTATAACWTTTATATAAATGACTTTATGRCAAAAATTAATCAAATTGGGAAATAACGGACACACTAATATACACACGGCAATTACTAAATACTATTTTCAATAGAACATGCCGGTTTAATTAAATGTATGTATGTAGGATACTAGAAACATAATTCAGAATTATACATTCATTTTATTTATACTTAATAATAAATATTTTTTATACTAACATTCAACATCCAGTATAATCCTTTTAGATACCGAGGGCGGTACACCATTGGTAGCAATACATAAATACGCGCCCATTTCATTGCGACTAATTTTTGTCAGCGGCAACACCTCGCCATCGTAAACCAAAACTAAGAAAAGAGAGTGATAGAAAGTAAAATTATTTTTATAAAGCTTTTATATGTTACAAAACATCTTTGCGCCTTCRTTTGAAACTCACCTTTCTTCTTCTTTTCGACGGCAATTTCCTCGCCATCTTCGCGACGCCAAATTATTTTCGGTGTTGGAAAGCCATCAGCACGGCAAGTCATATTGATGTTTTGATTTTCACGCACTGCCACGGATGAGGGTGTGCTTTCGATGTCTAATATATTCGGTGGTACTGAAGAAGGAAGTAAATATGCATGAGCACAATTGTTAAATATATTTAAAACTAAGGACATTATATAACTAAAAATGAGCAAATATAAAATAATTACTAATAATAAATATTATTTAATTATTAATTAACATTAATAACATAAAAAACCAGTCAAGTGATAGTAAGTCTGTGGTACACCATGTGGTATGAGCAACACAATCTCAGCTGGTAAAACATWACATTTTAATAAATAATACTCATTCTCATTAAATTTTTTAACTCATTCAATGAGAATTTTCTTGCAATATAGTAGTTAATAATAATGTGTAAATAAAATTAGTTGCACCTACCRACAACCTGCAAGTAGCCCACTTGACTAATCATAGGATTCGTATTTACTTGGCACATATAATAGCCACGATCATCTTGATGCGCTTGATTCACATGCAGCAGCCATGTGTTGGCATTATCATAGGTAATAGTATAGCGTGGTATGCGCGAGATGACGTGTTTGTGTATTGTCAGTATCATCTGGCGATCGATGTGGATCCAGGCGACCTGAAAATGTATAYAGGAAATAGAAAATTAGTAATATTTGGAATAATTGAAATAATTAGAATTACAGAGAGAATGTATAAGACATGGTTGGCTGAAAAGTCGTAAACTTAATTTGGAAATAAATAAACTTCTATTTTTATATATTTAAATAAATTTCAACTGACCTTATAGCCACCCAAGTGCTCAACAACGCAWGGCAAATTGGCGTCTCGTCCAACAGCAACTGTTACATTCGGTATCGGCTGCGCGAAACGTGGTTCATCCATCATCACTRCAGAAAATTTCATTTTGTAAGTCAATTATTTTCGGTATATGATCTTATATTTGTTTGGGATGTATAATATATGACCATATTACTTTGAGGAAGATTTTCAAAATTTCTATTACATTTTAGGATGTGATTGGTAGGCACTGGTCAGCTACTGGCAAATAAGCAATCGCAAGGTCRGGTAATTCTTCTCAGCAAGGGTTACCTTTCAGTTGTTGTAGAAGGACACAAGTCCAATCGGTATGCATGCGGTGAAAGAAGATGAGAGAGAATAACCTCAACTCTCCCCATCGCCGTTTTCAGATTGAGTCTGAAATAGCTCGCACTTTTAGACCTTCTATCACCTCTAGTGATAAACGGGTTACTTTTGATTTATTTTATTTTCTATTATTATTATTTTTTTATTAAACCGCCAATCTCCACATAGATAAATATTGTCACTTATAACAACAGGCAGTATGTACGTTGGGACGCCAAGGAGTTTTCTATATAAATGTTTCATAATATGCTGTTGCGTTTCTCTAATCGATTATCGAAAATTTCTTTAAAAAAAAGTCTCGCGCGGACAATGGGCTCACACTTGGTAGAGTTTTGTTGGCTATAAATGATTATTAGCCATTTGTGTACGACATTCTCCGGAAAAATTATATGTTTTGTAGTATTAATGCAAATTCAGACTCAATAAAATATTTTTATTATGGCTTCCACAAAAAACTTTCGAGCTAAAATTTTCATAAAATGCGTTCACAGGAACAATCGAAAGCAATTTTCCCCAGCATCCACAAAAAACTTTTATACGAGCTTTACCAAACCTTTTAGTTGTTTGGCTTTTACAAAATCTTATATAGGAGTATGAGTAAAAACTTTTTATTTTTGAACTTCCAGAAATAGGTTTCCAAAGTTTTTGAAACTCTATTTTCCTTCAACTTTCATAAAAAGCTTACTAAATAGCTTTTGGAGACTTTTGGTTTTAATTTAGCTTTTACAGAAGTATAACAGTTTTATCTCTAACTTCCAGAAAAGTTTTCACACCAGCTCTCAGAAGGCTTTTATTTTTTAATTAATTTATTTAATTAAGCTTTTGCGTGAGCATAAGCAGAAAAATTATTTATATTTTTTGGGCTTCCAGAAATAGCTTTCCAAGGACTGTTCGTACCAACTTTTTCTCCAGCTTCCACAAAAAGCTTTCTCGTAAGCTTTCAGCAGTCTTTTATTTTTAATTTAGGCTTAAACAAAATGTTTTTATATAAAATTTCAAAAGCCCTTTTTTATGTCCAGCTTTGAAAAGAGCTTTTGCAAGTCTTCGTTTATGATTTTTACAAAAAGCTTTCAAAGAAGCTTTTGGCATTTTTATTTTTAGGCTTTCATTTTTACGTACTTATCTGTTTAATGAAAAGCAAGAAATAAAGTAATTCTTTCAAGATTTACTGCCTTAAAAAACTTGACTAAGATTACTTTCATTTTTCTTTTCAT